CTCTCTCTCTCTCTCTCTCTCTCTCTCTCTCTCTCTCTCTCCTCTCTTTTTCTCGCAACAATTCCTAAAGATATCTGAATCATGGCTGTGAAATAGAAAACATTACGCGGTTTATTTTATAAAACACAAGGACAATATAGACAAAAATGTATATATAGTACATTTTGTACTTTAAATAAAGTGCCTTATCAAGAGAGCAAGAGTGCTATTTCAAAATAAAAAAACAAGACGACGAACAGTCCTCGAGACGGTTGTCATCTTACGTCGATCTCGACGTAAGGCGGATTCGCCAAAACGCGAGACGCCGCTGGCGGCACACGAAGGTCACGTTTTTAGCGATACCGCGGAGCGGCACGGAGGAACACGTTTTACACGGTGAAAGCGTAATCTCGGCAGGCTACCGCCGTAGTCGCGAGGAAAACATTATGATCAACCAGGGCCATGTCACGGATGTGCGCGCGGTCACCGTGCCGTGCCGCATCGATGCGTTTCTCGCTCAGCTTCTTCCTCCTTTTTTTCTCCTTTTCTTCATTTTTCCTTTTTCTCTCTCACGCGCGTTTCTCGCACATTATGTAAGACCGCGGCGGTCGCGGCGGTCGAACCGAGAGTCGCAGAGTCCGAGAGGTACACGCGGCCGTTCGCCACGTACGACGCCTCTCTAACCTTTAAAGGACAAGAAACCGCATCCAGGCGCGACGCGATCGGACGAAAATCGCCGGACGACGTTACGGAGATCGAGAAATGTCAAGAAGAGACGGGAGGGGAGGGAGAGGGGGGACACAAAAGGGGAAGAGGAACGGTCCGGTGGACGATCGGAAAAAGCGGACGGCTTCCGTTTGACGGCTTCGGTTCGACAGGTCCTCCCCAAAGATCGCGCCGGTAGGATAACGATCCGTCGACGCGTGTAGGGTAGGACAACAAGTAAACAAGATTTATAGATGGTTACTTACCGGCGGCCCGATGCGGTCTTCTCGCCCAGTCGTCCTCGATTAAGGGTGCGACTTTTCGCGCATGCAGCGTCAAAGGACAGGAGGCAATGATGAATAGAATCGGCAACATCAGACCACCGTGGAGATGCATCTTGGCGACTCTTGGTCTCTCGCGGCGGCTACCTTGTTCTTTCTCACTCCCTCTCTCTCTTCCTCTCTCTTTCTCTCTCTTCTCCTTCCGCCGTTTATCAGCCAGTTATTCTCTCGCACTCGGTCCTGGCACTCGTGCTGGTGTCTTACGCATATAGCGCGTCCTCCTCCTTCTCCTTTTGTTCCTTTCTCGTTTTCTCTTTCTCGATCTCCTTCCTCGTCGTCGTCGTCGTCGTCGTCGTCGTCGTCGAAGCCGTGGCACTGGTCTATTAACGACCGTTCATTGCACAAAACTTTCTGCACACTATCTCGCCACTACGTAATCTACCCCTCGCTGCGCGGACGACATAGAAAAAATGAAAAAAAAAGAAAGGGAAAAATTATAATGTTCTCGTGTTCGGCTTTGGGGGGAGGGGGGAGGGGAGGGTTTAAACGCGCGTCTCGCGGCGCGACTAATTGCCGCCTCTAATTATTTATATACTTTTTCCTATTCGGCGTGTCGCATCGAGACGGTAATACGCATAAGTCCGGACACGCGATCCTCACGCGGACGTTCCGCATTACTACGCGCGCGCGCGCGCGCGGACACCACGCACATGCACGTATGTTACAACACACACCTCGCGCACTCTCGCACGGTGACGAGGGAACGAAGCGAAGGCACGCGAAGCGAAACACCGCGAGAAAGCCTCCCGGTCGGAAAGCGTCGCGCTCTCTCGCAACTCCAAGCCGCTACTCCGAGCGATCTCTCGATTCGCGCTCCTCTCGCGCCTTGCGCGCCTCTCCGCACCACCGCCGTGCGCCGACCACGAGAGCGCGCGATACTGCGGCGCACGTTTTATAAGGTGGTAGCGCGACACGGCCGCGCTTATACGAGAGTGTCCCGAGAAACGAAGAGACACGGGAGAGCAAGAGCGACGGCGACGGCGGTTTCGGCGTCGTCGTCGTCGTCGTCGTCGTCGTCGTCGTCGTCTCTGTTCGTTTCTCTCCTTTTCTCCCTTCCTCTCTCTCTCTCTCTCTCTCGT